CCCGAGCCCGAGCCCGAGCCCGAGCCTAAGCTTGAGCGCGACCGGGCGTCGCGCGGCGCTGGCCGGACGGGTCTGCCGAGCTAACTTCCCGCCTCGCGCGGGCGGCCGGTATCGCGCCGCCGCCCGCGCGGTTTCAATTCCGCGCCATCCGGTCTAGGGTCGCGCGCCGTCTCACTCGCCATTTCGTATCCCGACCATGCCCACTCATGCCGAGCAGCGGGTGCTGCCCTACGAGCCGCAGAAACTCTTCGATCTGGTGGCCGACGTCGGGCGCTATCCCGAGTTTCTCCCCTGGTGCATCGCCGCGCGCGTGCGCCGGCGCGAGTCCGACGGCCGGCGCATCGTCGCCGACCTGGTGATCGGCTTCAAAATGATCCGCGAGCGCTTCACCAGCCGGGTCGACCTCTACCCGGACACCGGCGAGATCCACGTCGAGTATGTCGAGGGGCCCTTCAAGTACCTCAACAACACCTGGCAGTTCATCGAGCACCCCGAGGGCTGCCTGATCGACTTCTACGTCGACTTCGAGTTCCGCTCGCGCTTCCTGCAGAAGATGATCCAGCCGCTGTTCAACGAGGCCGTGCGCCGCATGGTCGCCGCCTTCGAGGCCCGCGCCCGCGAGCTTTACGGGTAGGCGACGTCCGGCCCTTCGGCCAGGCCGCGGCCCGTCAGCTCGGCATCTGGCCCAGCGCGAGGAACAGGACGGCGGTCATCACCGCGTTGAAGGCGCCGTGCATGGCGATGGCCGGCCAGAGGCTGTCGCTGCGCTCGCGCAGGCGCGCCAGGTAGAAGCCGACCAGCAGCAGCGCCGGGATAAGCTGCGGGATGCCGTGGGCGACCGAGAAGAGGCCGGCCGAGACGGCCATCGCCCAACCCGCCGGCAGGTGGCGGCGCAGCCAGCCGTAGAGCACGCCGCGGAAGGCCAGCTCCTCGACGAAGGGCACCAGGATCGAGGCCAGCGGCAGCACCGCCAGGAAACTCACCAGCGAGGGGCCGGCCGGGGCCAGCACGTCGACCTGGGGGTTGGCCGGCGCGCCGCCGAGCAGGCTGAGCGTCACCGCGTTGATCGCCATGGCCGGGATCACGACGCCCAGGCCCCAGAGCGCGCCGCGTTGCAGCCATTGGGGCGGGAAGGGGCCGAGCCCGAGGCTGCGCAGCGAGAGGGCGCGGCCGCGCCGGACCAGGACCAGGAAGGCGGCCAGGAAGATCAGCGACTGCCCGGCGAGCACCAGCGGCACGAGCAGCGCGCGCGCCTGCGGCGTCGCGGCGGAAAGACCGAAGAGGTCGGCCAGCGCGCCGGCGGCGAAGCCGGCGCCCAGGAAGCAGGCGAGGGTGGTCAGCACGTCGACCAGGTCGGGGCGGCCCGGCTGCGGCCCCGAGCCCGGCCCCGAGCCCGGCCCCGAGCCCGGC